TTTTTTTCATAACGATTATCCTTTGAACGTTAAACTATATAGAAATATATATTGTGTTGTTAAAATTAATTATATCCTGGAAATGTTCATCGTAATAAAGAGTTGTATTACAAATTAAAAAGCATGAATGGTTGGCAAACATTACAAGGATATTCATAATTCATGCCTACATTATTATTATATTAATCATAATAAGTAGCGTAAAATGTGTTATTTTAAAACTTTTTTTTATGCGCTTAACGCGTGTTCAATTAGTGTTAGTTACGAGCTAAGTGTATTACATCATGAGTTATGAAATTATAGTAAATATGATTATCAGAATATTTTTTACGTGGAATTTTTATTATTAAACCGCTTGGATTTGATGAAATGCTAACGATCATATATACCGGCAAAATTAACCTAATTTAATAGAAAGCTTTAAAATGTTTAAAATTAGTCTTTATCACGGAAATTCATACAACAGCTGCATTTAGGTAAGTAGGTTGGTACGTACTTTCGATAAGTTCATTATATTTTTATAATAAATTYAGAGAACACAGTTTTATATGATTTATTACAAGAACTTTGTTATACGCTATTACAAATATCCTTTAATCTCCTGAAACAAATATAATCATTTTTGATATAACCATGTGTTCATATAAACAAGAGACCACTGGGGAATTTCACGTTATGTGTCACGTTTTCCTCCCCCCATTCAAAACAATATTTATTGAAGGCAGGTAAATGCCATGAAAAATATCAATCAATCACTAACACATATTGAATAACGATAATAACAACAACGACAAATTGTGTTACTGTGGATTAACAGATTAGCTTTAAATAAATGTTATACCATGTTTTTATCTAGTTTTAAAATGTCATTCACTTTTTATATATTTATTTAATTATAAAAATTATTTTGTTTTTAAGTACGTTTTATAGAATTAATCAGCGAAAAATAATGTTCGTCCGTTGAAAGACTTTTTAAAACAATTTTTTCCCCAAACTAAAAAAAGAAATAGATAATATTTACATAACTTATAGCCAAATCCCGTTAGTTATATAATTCATATTCATATTCTACTATAATATATTAACGTAATTTTCAAACAGGTTAAATTTTGCTCTTATAACATTAAACATGTAAAAATATAACTCGAAAAACAATTTGATGAAAATACAAAATTTCATGTTCATAAAAACTTTACTTTTTTGAAATTTCCTAGGAATATGTCTTTTTCGCGAAACGTGAAACTTATTACCTTAAGGGTTTACAGCAGCATATTCTAGAAAGTTCGTTAAAGCTTCGGGATTTATATACTTCTAGAGAATGTTTAATGTAAAAAACTTGGTATGCTCCTCTTTAATTAATAARCAAATAGAAATTCAAGAACTAAATAACATACTTGCTGTTCATCTTAAAGTATATTATATATAATGTATGTAAACATAAAAAATGAAACCAAAAAATCTGTAATACGCATGATATATGGTATTCTATTTTATAGGTAAATATAGTTTATTACTAATAGGTGCATATGTGATACGCAATAGTGGTGTGGTACTACGGGGTGGATCTCCCCCTTGGTTAAATATAAAATTATTACATGAAATAAATTTTTTTATGACTTCTATTTTTGAGTACTTATTATTGTATTTAATGTGAAAAATATTTCGTTCTCCCCCCCCCTGGAATTGGTCAAGGACCACCACTGATACGCATCGTCATCTTATACAATAGCTAATAACATTATTTACCATGGTCAGTATCACAATATTTAAAACTTTCTTGTTAGTTACAACTCATCAATTTATTTATAAAATATTTATATCTTATTTGCAATATTATTATGTTTTCTGGGAATATTATTCATTTTTTATTTTTTATATATTATAATATTGCATTAGGTACTATATAATATTTACTCTCGATTATATTATAATCCTATGCAGCGAAGAATGTTGCATTTTGTAATCACGTGAATGTAATAACTTCACAAATTTTACATTATTATTATTGTTTTTGTTTGTACTTAAAAAATTTACCTCATAAGCACTGACCATTTGAATTAATTTTCTGCAGGTATTGATATACAGAGGGACTTGTATAAATTACACAATATAACGATACCAAATACACATATCATATACGTGATATAAAATATTTAATTATCAGTTAATTTATACCAGAGCTAATTAAATACTATACCTAGTWAATAGTTTATTGTGCTAGTTAGAACTGAAAACGAATTAGATGGCGGAGAAGATAGAATTATGTTCTTAATAGAATGATTTGGCCAATTATTCCGGAAGTGCTGAATATTCTCTGGTCTGAGTGTTGATGTTGTGGACTCCAAATTACGACGTGCATATTGAGTCATTACGAAACTATTTGATATGCTTTATATTTGTAGTTTCGCAAATTCTAATAGTCTTATGATTACTATATATGTATATAATAAATTAATTACCTAATTTATTGCATAACACGTTGAATCCCAAGAATTTTACAAGAAATAATTTGAACATATATTTACGCAATAGGGTTAGATGAAGTTTGGATATTTGTTATTATTATTATAACGATTTGAATATGCAAATAATAGTCTGAACGCTGAAAATTAGTGAATAGGTACATACAAAATTTGTGTACTTACTTTTAAATTTTATTTTGATTACTTATAACTACCTACCAGCATTAATTTAATAATTTTCAATAATAATTGATGTAATTTATTGTAGCCAATGGTCCCATAGTCACCGAGGCATTAATAATAATAATAAAAACAAATAATTGATATTTTTATTTAAACTATTGTAAATATAGCGAAAATGTAAAAACATTAAAAYATAAAGTATATTTTAAAATAGATAAAAAATCTATAACAAATGATTGAACTGATTTTGAAAAAAATAAAACCATGAAACATAAATAATAAATATTTTTATTCAATCTAAATCCAAAACATAAAATTATAAAATATTATTTATATATATATAGTTCACTTAGTTAAAACCTATACAACTACCATAGTGAGTTCCCATTAGAATATATGACAATCTCGTGAGTGGAGATGAAAAAAAAGTTGAAAAATAGAACTAATAAACCTATATCGTTACGAATAATATATGAGGAAAGGATARATGTTAATCGTTTTAAATAGTTGTTATAAAATGTTAAGTACAATCCAACTCGTCAGTATACATCTTCAGATGGCATTGTAAATAATATCCATTGTTAACTTACTATTGTAAAAAGAAGTATAAAAGTTTCTTATATATGTTAGTTTGACAAAACTAATAAAATGAAATAGTGCCTGACTCGAAGCAATTAGATAATTATTTTATATTGCGTATCTGGCCTGAAATGGAGAATAAGAGTGCAATAATGCTATAGGGGACTGCCAAAAGAACTTTGTTTCACAACATATAGTCATAATGAAATAAAACGTTTGAAAAAAAAACACATACACCTATGTAGTTTTAATCTTAATCCAACATTGATTTTAAATCTCTAATCAAATACGCACAACGTTTTTACAACACAACAAGAGTTTTATTCTATGTATTGTATATACGTATTATGTTATTTCATGAGTATTTTGAAAGAAAAAAACTATATGAATGGATATTTTTGAATCATTAGAATTCGTAAAATAACATTAGATTAATAATTTTCTTTTTTTTTATCTACTATTATGCTACATATTTAATAACTATCAAAAATTGTAGTTTATATTCAATGTGATAAGACAATAATTGTGTTATTACACAAATACAAAGCGTTAAAGTTATTGTCAATTTGTGATCGTTTTTTAAATAATTATCGTCACTAGTAAACACGAAATTGCATAAATTAATAATAGAACGAAAAGTTAAAATGATGAAAAAATAATGACTTGGTATGTTAATTTATATTTTTTTTTCTAACGCCTTTGTATTAAAAAACCAACTTTTTAAGTTTTTTTGCTTGGAGACCATTTTTGGTGATGRTTTCAAAAAATAAGTTTGCCCTAAACTTTCCAGAATAATATATAATATATATCATAACATGAGGTGGAACTGGAAGTCGCTGCATCTTTTAAAAGTTACTTTTTAGTACAATCACATATATGGTTTAAATAATATTATATTATATCAATCAAAGTTAGTAAAAAACATCAGTTTTTATAGAATATTGTGTCACATTTGGATTCATAGATTAAATTTGGATATTATTTGAGTTTTATATATTACATTAAATTATGAATAGTTTTTCTTACAAATCTTACAAATAAAAATATTACATGATAGGTATTGCTTAATTTGTGGAAAGATAAAAAACATCAAATTACAATAATTGAGGCAATATTGTTACCACCATAATTCAAATATAATATTATGTATTATCAATAGTCATGCGATAACAATATATTTTCGATGGATTATTTCGATCTTTATGTTACTGTATTATTATGATAAAATGTAGGAATACTTACTGCAACGATTCTTTGGACTTGGACCTTAGCAGCGATTTGTTGGTGCGCTTGTAAGCCAGGGCGAATGTGACGGCTACCAGTGTAACTATGAGTGCAGAGCCGCACCCGAGTGCAAAGAAGAACGCACCGTGCGCGGGCATCAACTCTTCCGGCGCTTCGTCACCACGTTTGGGTGAAGTCAACGCGGTATTTCCACTACCAGTGGTGACCACATCAGTGGCGACATGCACTGCAGTGGTGCCTGGCCCACTGTACGACGGTTGCAATACTAAAGTATTGTCGTTTTTGTAACCATCATCGGGTTGTAGTCGTGGCGGAGGAGGAGGTGGTTGGGCTGCAGGCTGTGGAACGTGTTGCTGTTGGCCCGGAGGCAATTCATCAATCAGGTTCGTCTCCAACGAACCATCTTTGCCTATGGACACAAGCAATATTTTTTGCAATTTTAATGACGCAATGCATTACAAGTCGGGTCGATTTACGACCGTATTGAAGAGACTTAGCACCCCGCCTACTATATCGAAAACAAAAATCTAAAAAACAGTTAGGGGGGTTTTGTTTTCGTTTTTTTTTTTTTTTTTTTTGGGGGGGGGGAAGACTAATATTGTGGTTGCTTTAGCCTACAAAATGAGTTTTCCTAGATAATTTGTTACGAACAGTCTGAATTTTAATCCACGCTTCTGCAGCAAGTGCATTCGACTTGGTAATGACGAAACACGATGGTTATAGTTGTGATATTTTTTCACTAAATCTTTGTTTATCGGTTATAATTATGATGTTTTATTGTACCAAGAAGCTGGAGTTTATACAACAACATGATTAGGTTAACTCGGACACATCTTGAATAACCACAGTACTGCCACCGAAATGACGACCCCGTTTCCCGTGCGCTGCATTGCAGTCGTCCTAACTGATCGTTTATAGTCGGTGGTAAACTGCTATATATATATATATATATTTAATTATGTTTGTATAAAATATTGTTTGACGTTTTCATTTATTTATTAACAACCCGCAAACTGCAACTATAACAACAAAATATTTTGTGGACACAAAATTGACAAAACTTCTTTTGGGTTTGATAAAACGTTCGTTTCTTTAGACTTTTGTTCGGTTTAAATCAAATTAACGCCACCACTTGTATGAAACGCGAATAACTGTGCTGCTACATCTCTACAAATATTTATTTTCATAATGGTTTCCACTTCTTACCAGACGAAAAAAAAAATAGTAATAATAATAATCAACACGAARTAGTCTCGTAAAAACTACGCCAGGTATCTTCTAACCATTTAGAGTTTATAGATAATTTTTCAGCCCGTTAACACAACACCGAACTATAGAAAAATTCGATAATATAATTTTATTAATTTCGTAAGGATTTATCATGCAACTCTAACAAACGAAAAATATAGTTTTATTCATTGGCACATACCTAACTTTATTGTAAAATAAATATACTCATCATAATTATTATTGTGGCGGGCAAGTAGATTTTTAGTTTTACTAATAAATTAAAACAAGTAATTGCATTTATTATACAACGTCAAAAACTGTGCAGGTTTATTGCAACAAATAATTTTTATTTGGTTTCTGAATTATTTATTTGAAGTTTTAAAAATGTATTGCACAAAAATATTCGTTTAATTGGTTAAATCAATTATATAATTATATAAGCCTTGATTATTGTAGTTCACTCATGWGGAAAATCAATTATTCAGTTTCATAAGTTTCATTTGAATAATCAATAATTCAATTTACGGCTTAACTAAACATTATTATGTAGGTATCTAATATTTATATGAATATGGTGTAGAAAATAAATTGATGATTTAAATAAAATTAAAACGCATTTAATACGTGTTTCCAATTTTCCATAAACAAAAATTATAATTATAACCTATTATTATAATTATTATTATAACCTACTATAACCTTTAGTAACACAATGTTACATTAGTACTAAAAATACMCACAAATTACGATTAATAGATATTTGTCATCAACATCGTTGCATGATTTTATCGGACAAAATAGTTTTATAAAGTCTTTTCGCCACCTAATCATCACCTATCCCATCAACTATGTCCCATTGACTGCACTATTATAGATTATACTGAATGGCGTAGGTACTTATAAAAAGCTATTAGTGTCGTGACTTCAAAGTTGAATAAATATTTAAAAATCCCACTATCTAAAGTTTCTTGAATGGATGATAGCCTCTTCGACAAGTCACCTAATCATAGTACTTCGCTTACATTTATTTTAAATTTAATACATGTTGTGTTACAACTAATTAATGTTAAATAACGATATTTTTGAATTTGGTGAAATGACAATTTTTTAATTCAACTACGTATAATATTGAGTTATTTATAATAATATTATCATGGTTAGTATATTRTTTAACAAAAAACTACGTCATAATATTAACTATACTACGTTGCGATAAAAAAAATTACAAAATCACAACTACTTGTACCACACGTAGGACACCATCACGGTAATAATAATAATATTTGTGTCATTGTTATTCGTTTTGACATTTTAGTGGCGTTTAATAATAATGTATAAGCCATACCATAATTATTTTAACAGCGAACATAATTATCAATATACATCAGTTGAATTTCGGTTGAATTTTGTATTTATTTTAAAAAGTTTGTTAACACAGTTTGATGTTCAAATAAAATTAAAATCATTTTTTAAACAAAACTTAATTTATTTTCACATTTTTATGCAATTATTTTTTATTTTTWATATTTTAAACGACAACCTTTGCTTTTAAATACATTTCTAGTTTCAAAAGTATTCAATATAAATTAAAATTTAATTTAACTGTAAATTTTCTCTTGTTATTATTCAAAGACGAATTTTTTTTTTTTTTAATGTGTTTCAAATTATTATTTAGAATTATTTTTTCTAAATGAAGTAGGAACATTATTTTGAAAATAACAAAAAATAACCGAAATAATAAAAGTTTATTGACAAACAAATTACTTTGTATAGTATAATATTTTAACATAATATATTATACTATACAAGTATTTATAATATTACGTTACATGTGGTATACATTTTGTATTGATTGCCACGTGCTATCGAACCTATGGTGTAACTGTAATAATATAATAACTATAATATAATAACTGCACGCTGCGTTGACATACCGTAAACAATGAAAATTAAAACGTCTGTCTGGCGCGCACAAAACGGTTTTATGTATTTTCAAAACGAAGAGACATAATAGTATAATACACTGTATTTTCGAACTTTATTCTGCGTAGTAGTTTTAATTAATTAAATCGTAGTCTGCGTACACCGCCCTTCGGCACTCACCGTCAGATTAATTATTATCGAACAGCCTAATCTGCACCTCCATACTCGTATTATTATTATTATTATTGTTGTTGTGTATATATATATATATATATTATAAACATGTCTATATATTATGTGTATCCAAGTTCCGTTTCACCTCGTCCCCCGTCACCCACTACTGGCGCAACTACTGTGTACCTATATAACCTTTGACGGTGGCGGTTCGATCGACCTAACGTAACCGCCGGCAGGAACTCCACTTCAAAGGCAATGCGTAGTTCAAATACACCACAAAGCGAGTAATTTGAAATGCAAAATGGGCTGAAAGTGTAACGGTGCCCGAGATGGTTCGAGGCGTTAGATAATGTTGCAAAGGAGCTGGAAGAATCCCATATACAAGTTTGTACATCGGCATTGGCGAACAAATCCACTCGAGTCTCAAATACCAGCAATGTAGTATAGTATTATAATCAGTTATGAACGGTTACACCAACAACAACAATAATACTAATAGTACAAGCTTGAAGGGTCGACTCGTAAACCAGGTTGAGAGAATCTAATCGAGTTCAAGTGTTTAGATTTGGTTGTCCGCGAGGATGTTCCTGTATAAACATTGCAGTTTGATTTGTAAAAGTTGAAGCTGGGGGAGGTTTACTATAATGGTTATAGAGAATTAATCATATAATAAGACTATATCATGGAATAGGTACGAAATGATTATAGATTTGATGAGGTGGAGCACAAGCATTAAAATAATATTATATAATATGGTTGTGCATCACCACACTGATATTGTTTTTTGTTATTTCGTGAGATAAAGGCGAACAACGTTATCAAAATCATAACAATAATATTATAATTACCGATGAGTGAGTCTAAGAGCATGTCGGTGGTCTTCAGGCATATCTTGTTCCGATGGAACACCAGTGACACGTTACCGTGTTTGGGGTTAACCGCAGTTATGTTGATAGTGAGCACAACGTGTACCTCGGAGCTCACTACGCCCGTGCACGGCATTTTAAGYCGGAACACCTGAACGTGAGACGGTACCCAACCGGATTCAGGGATGTCCAGTTCCGGTTTCTTCATCGCTATGCCGTTGTTTGACTCCACTTTCCACGTGTACGGTAACTGCAAAACGAAAGTAGAATAATTATAGATTTATAGTTATTGTTTAGAAATATTAATATTAACGGAACATTGTTTTTTGATTTTGTAAATTGAGACAGAATTTTCGGGTGCCAGAGAATTGGACCACATTTTACCTACCTACTTCGAATAAAATATTTGTTTATATTTTTACTACCCGGAGATTGGGTCATAAAAGTATAGCACACAAATATGTATACTATTAATACGAATACATAATATTTATTAACTAATATTATTTTTTGTCCAACAAATACAAATATAATTCGTTAAATAATAAATATTTTGTTTCAAATACTTATATACAAATTCAAGAAATTTAATATAAAACACGGTCAATTAAGTTAATCAAACAATTAAATATAACATAAAATAATTATTTTTTCTAATACTTAAAAGTATAATATGAAACAAACTTTTTCTAGTACATATATTATCATAAGATATCGAAGTTTAATGTGCGCTGCAGTGTTAGGTATTGTAGCAATTTATATAATATTATGACGCATTACGTTAAATTAAATTGTATTAAATTATTACTTTAAWATTTAAAATTTAATAGTGGCTCAATTTTCGGGTCTATCTATTATAAATGTAACATTTTGGTGGCCTAATTACCGCATACTATTTTGAAAAAGGTTAATTGTGGTCCAATTCTAGGGCGTCTGGATTTTCAACAAACAGAAAAATCATTTTATTAACAACTCGTTCAAAATTAATTTGATATTTTGATATATACGTCGAAATTCTCAATAATACAATATTTTTTGCAGTATTTGAAACTAGTTATGTACCAATTTATGCTGTCATTCTCTAAAATATTATTATTGTTAGGATTAAAAACATAAATTTTTTTATATACCTAATGTAATAGTATGTATTTACTTTTATAACTTCAAACTAGGTAAGTACGTATAAAAATGTATTTTCAAAAATGTCCATATTTTTCGGAATAATACGTAAGTGTTTATTCTTACCACATTGAATCAATGCAACTGCGTGACATATTATTTATGTAAACAGCACACTAAAATAATATTATAAAAGAATTTTTATAGAATGTATTTTGTAGGTACATCCATATCAAGGGCTGTGCAAATTAATGTAATTATTCTAAAAAGTTAGTGTCTACCTTTATTTATAATAAACGTCTGAATAAACGTACTTAAAAGTTATGAGTACCCTTACTTCTTACTGAAATGAAAAATATCTACAGTTGGCATTATAATATAATACCATAAACAATAAAACAAACTAAGAAACCTATAAAGCTTTTGAAATAGATGATTTCTGATCTTTGTTGTAGAAATTCATTGTTCCTCTCTTTATCTCAAAATAAGTGTTTTAAAGTTTTCACTCAAATGAATTCCAATTATTATGTATCAATAAACCTTCCCTTTTCATTATTAATTTAATGTGTATATATTGACTGTCGTTCGTCAAGGTTTTTGTATAACTCTTAACACTCGTGWTTAATACAAAATGTTAAAAATGTATAGAATACATAATACCATCATGCATAATGCATATCATATTATACTTAAATTAAATAAAAGTCAAAAAAAATATTTTTAAAACATTGAATGTAAACAATAAATACAATTTTCGATACGGAAAAGTATTTCACTGTTGATCAAATCCGTACAATACGTTTTATATAATTATTTTACCTTTGYATCTTTCGAATTGAAATAAATACAAAAAAAAAATTAATTTAAACTTATATATTAACGAAGAACCGTTTATGCGAAACATTTAATTTGCATAGAGTGACAAACTATATTCGATTGTGCAACTTTTATTTTTGCCTAACTTTTTCGCGGACCGCAGTAGGTACATCTGCAATAGTGGAAAGTTTTAATATCATGTCTATAAATTAAGCATGAGAAATGAAAACTTTAATAATCGAAGCTCGTCGTTGACCACCACGGCCGTGTCGTCGTATATGCGTTTATCATATACATTATGTAAATTCCGAAAGGTAATTCGACAGCGATAATAATGAGGGATTGCTGCAACGATTCCGTTCGTTACAAGACCCTCGAAAAACCATTATCGTCCCGTTTATACGAGGGAAGATAATATAATGATACAGACCCTTTTTTCCGGGGACCCAGAACAACAGAAGCAACAGCACTACTTCCACCACCTCGGGACGTCTGGGGAATACGTAAAATGAAAACGAAAGTAATCCGACGTGCAAAGTATAGACTGAGGGAGGCGTGCGACAGCGGTGTCGGTGCAGATGGAAGTGGTGGTGGTGTAAGTTTGACACGGGACTTAGGCTCGTGTCCAATTATCATTGTTGTGTATTATATCATATCATTATATTATATGTGTATAGTCGGTGCTGGCGCAGTGTTCCGGGCCGTTGCGAACGACTATCTATACATGTTTCATGGGGACAAATTATCCCCGGGAACAGAGGCGGTAGGGCGAGCAGGGAAAAGGAATAGGGATCGCGTAAATCCCACGTCAGTCACCTTTACCTGTGTGTATTATATTATTTTATTTATATTGTATAAAATGATCGGACCAATTGATACATATTATCATTATATTACAATATAATACAGTGTTATGTGAACGGACGGAGGTGGTGCACCTAAATATATTGTGTTGTATAATACTACACGCATACAATATAATATAATTCAGTCGTATGAGTTATAAGAACGACAACCGGGTAGGTTGAACTATTATATCGTTATTGTAATATCGTTATACGTCGTCGTCGTCGTCGTCAACTATATATACAATGTAAAAAAATATAATACCTTTTATATATGTGTATGTGGGGCGCTCAACGGTTCATCTGTGCGACTGCYGCGGTGCAGACAACTTACGGTGCAGATATATATAGGTACAATAGCACGAGAGACGTGTACGTGTGTGCACACGCATAATGCACCTTCGCGCGGCCCAACAATAGTATATTTTAGGGTTAAACATTGTTCACACACACGCTCACAAGTAATATATATAATGCCTGCGTATATAATATGTATATAAATATTTGTAAATGTTTTTTTCCACACCGTCCATCAGCGTCCGTGTGTATGTGTGCGTGTGTTGTGTACGCGAAACCTTTCCTCTCCTCGTCCTGCAGAGCCTATATAAAGCGATTACAAAAGCTCCTTTTTGAGGGGAGTGTGGAGAGGGAAACAGGCCTGTGTGACTATAAGTTTTGCCGAGATTTCCGACCCTGTTTCTGACACATGTGTCACACGCGGCGCGCCAAATCCCCACTCCAAGCACAACCTCTATCACACTTTCTCTCTCTGCCAAAACCACGCCGACTATACATGTATATATGTATACGGACGGTAAAGTGCGCGCGAATAGGCCATTGAATCCCATTTTCTCGACCCTTTGCACCGACCCGACACGACTGTATACCATTCGTATACACGGCCCGCGAGACATATACTCGAAAAGAGAGACAGAAAGACAGACAGAGACAGAGACAGGGAGAGCGAGAGAGAGAGAGAGAGAGAGTGAGAGTGATATGACGACCTTTGTATGTAAATAAACCACAGAGTCGCTTGTGGCTGTCACGAAATGTAACCGAATGTTTGTGTCTCTCCAGCGGCRCCCCCTGCATTCACCCAAAGTCGTTATACGTGTATTTGTTTTTTAACCAATTTTTTTTTCGTTCATGCTATTTTTTTCTCTGTTTTCTGTGTGTCAAAAATACTTATCCCTTTTCCGTTCGACTCACGCCCTACACTAAATATAATATAAAATATATACCTACTTGTCCATTAAAGCATACACTGATGTGTGAGCATGGCAGCGTCCACGATATTTTTATCGTCAGACTTAAACATCCTTCCGGCCTTACGTACCWATATAATATGATAATAACATACACAACAAACAACTGCAGTGCACACGCCTTTTCTTATCGTTGTCTGCATTTAAGACCCGTGCAACAATGAGATGCAGCGCGACTGTCGTATTATGTCATCGAGTTCTAATATGTGTTTAGAGTCTTTATATTATTATACATTAACGTATATGAGGGTGGGGGAGTACACGATGACAGGTCTCTCGCCCGTAAATCTCAACGAACTTGTACGTGATACAAACAAAAACCAATACAGCTGGAGTGATCTGATAATAAAATAGAAAATACGATTTTGTATACGCACRATTTTTATATTTTTCGTATAATCTGTGATAATAATACGTATCTATACGACTAGAACTGTAGTAGGTGCATCATCTGCAGTTAAGGTTGCCATCTTTGAAAGATGGCAGACCCGGAGATGTAATAGGCTGATAAGTAAAAAAAAAGGTAAATAAAATTATACTGCGCAGTAGAATCTCGATAATCTAAACGAGTTTGGGGAAAGGGGTCGCTTGGATTAGCGATTAGTTGAGATTACATATGGCTTAAAAAAACATAAATTTTATTGTAATTTAAAATATGAAATTTTATTTTTATTCGTATTAATCGTGTAAAAACTCGTAATTTCAAAAATCAATGAGTATATAAAAATATTAATATAGTTATAAGTATAATTATGAACTTTACAATTTACAATATTGATTTTTTTTTTTTGTACATTGGTTCCTATTATGCGTTGGTACGCCTTGTCTCACATAATTGAAAAATTTTATTACCAGAAAATATTATTTATAAATAGTAAATACATACATATTATGGCGATAAGATAATTCTCAAGCCCGTTCGGATTACCGCGTCTTTCGGATTAGCCTGTGTTCGGATTATCGAGACCCTATACTGTATATTATATACCTATGCGTATACCAGATAAAAATAAAAATATAATTAATAAAATGCATAACAATTTGAAAAAAAAAGTTAATTTAATCACATATTTTATTAAATGTTGAAAAATACAAAATATATTTATTAAAGTTTAAAATTGTACTTTACATTTTTTGTTGCACATTTCAATACATTTTCTTGTTCAGGAGTTTTCAAAAACTGCAAAAATTCTTGGCAGT